TTTTTGATAAGTAAAACCCTTGAAACAGAAGATTCATCTAATTTTTGATGTGTACTTTTTGAAGATTTGTAATAACCTTCATGAACCAGTAGTCTTACTGCTTCTGCTGTTACTGATATTGTTAAAGTTATTTGAATTATTGTTGCCAACTGGAAATCTTGCCCAATACCAAATTCCTGTTCGACAACTATTTCAACCAGTTTCATAAAGGTACCACCTTCACTCATAGATATAGGAGACCTAGATTGCTGACTCTAATGTTTTCTATAACGCACGAGCGTGACACTTATGAGCATTCAAAATGGCGGCTCAACCGGGCAAAAATCATAGAGCGAGATAGGGAAAAAACATGTTTTTCGCATTTTGCGTCGTCCTACAGCTTCCGATCCCGTTCTATCACTTTATTTTGGCAAGAACTAACTGGTGTGAAGGTTTTGGATGAATATTTGTACAATTTAAGTTTAATAAAGACGAAATAATCGATCGCTAAATGTTATCTGAAAATCATCACATAGTCGGTTGAGCAGTTCGAAACATTTTGTTACAGAAAATAAAGGTTTTGGTTCTGTGGGTGCTTTTTTTATCGAGGATCTTGGTTGGGATATATAACAGGGAATAATATTGTGAAGTATTTTGAAGTTAAAACCTATTTTACTTGATTTATTTGGTCTGCTGGTGCGAAAATTCTGATGCTCTGTTTAGTGTGACTTTGACAACCTCCTTGCTGCTGCAGATGTCAAGGGATCTCAAGTCTATATGGCCTGGACAGTGAAAAGTGATGAATCAATCAGGTTTGTAGAGAGAACTAGTGACAGCGAAAGTTTTCAATGGAAACTAGTTTGAAGAAACTGACTAATTTGGCTGGTATGCATCAAAAACCTTCACAGTATCTAGTTCTCTCCAAGAAACCTGATTGATTCATCATTGATAATCAAAAATAGATGGGACAGCATCTTCGTTTAGATATTTCTTGGATAAGTTGGATTGGCCTTTTATTGATTGCTCTCCACAATCAGCACTCTCCCCTTCAGGCACTCTCCCCTTGAGACAGCTGACTTAAGCATCAGCACTTTCTCTTGACAAGTAAAATTGTCTGGCGTTAGACAGAGTAAAATAATAAAATAGGGCACAAAAAAAAAACACATGGGCAGATAGGCCAGTTAACCTATTAAGTGCCGCTGCTCTCCCCTTGATGAGTAAAATTGTCTGGCGTTAGACAGAGTAAAATAATAAAGTAGGGTGCATTGCAACTCGATGGGTTAATATAATCATCGGGTGTGAAGTGTTTCTCACACAAGACAGGGTTCGTACGGGTCCTGGAAAGTCATGGAATTTCAATATTCCAAAATCCAGGCCTGGAAATCCTGGAAAATCAAAATTACTTATTTCAATTTACCAGTCATAACAATAATATGAATCGCTGTTTTCAATTTACCAGTCATAACAATAATATGAATTGCTGTTATATAACAGATTTTTGCAAGAGCGAAGTGAATTTTATTCTTTTACTATATCTGTTATCGTTAAAATATTAACGAATTTCAGAAATTCCAGACTTCCAGGTCATGGATTTTGAAAAAAATAGTCATGGGAAGTCATGGAATTTTAAATCGGAGAAAGTGTGCGAACCCTGACAAGACTGGATATTTGATTGGCATCCAGTCTGCCCATTTCATTTTTTAGCAGGCTGGGATTGGTTATAGGAAATCCAATAGTGCAAAGGGAAAGATGTATTTTTGGTTCACTGATGTGAACAAAAGTAAAACATTTTTGACCTTGAACAGGACAAGGACCTCTATGACAGTTGTTGTCAACATGCATATATATAGAGAGAGACTCCTAACACAGATTGACACAGACATCAAAACAAGTTGTTTGGTCTAATATTCTTTTATTAAAACTGTAAATAGTTTTATATTGTAGCTAGCAAACTCAAAACTACATTTGTTGTGACGTTGTCATTACAGTATTTACAAAACAAATTGTTTTTATTCTATTAATATTAAACTATTCTGTTTATATGATGTAAGTTATAGACTTTATATAGTGTACAAATATATGATGTGTGTGTTTCATAGACTTACTTATGGAAGGAAAAGCGAATACCATCTTTTAAATCCCCACGTCTGCCTTGCACTAATACAATGAACACGATTCATGCCGACATTCAAGCATTCTTTTCGATAAAACCCCCCAGATATTTTAATAGAATAGAAAGCCCTAGAATTTTCAGATGAAAATACTGTATTTTGGTCGAAATAACAATGAACGAACAAAATAAACAGTAGTAGCTTTTGGAATAGTTAGATATATATCACATTACTTGAGAAAAAACTCGTAAAAGACTGAAGGAATAAACAGGAAGAAACTAAAGACGAAAAGCGTGCGAAACTGCAGGCCTGCCCAATCTTGCCCGCTTGAATTGTAATTTGTAAATTGTATTAGTTGTAACAAATATTCATCCAAAACCTTCACACCAGTTAGTTCTTGCCGAAATAAAGTGATAGAACGGGATCGGAAGCTGTAGGACGATGCAAAATGCAAAAAACATGGTTTTTCCCTATGTTGTTCTATGATTTTGCCTGGTTGAGCCACCATCTTGGATTTTCAAAATATGTCACGCCGGTTGAGCCGAGTCAGCAATCTAGGTCTCCTATATCTATGCCTTCACTTGTATTGCCCAGATTGTGTATAAAGGGCTTGGGACCAAAAATCGTGTCCATTGTGAACTGTGTGATGTGGATTATTCTCATGACGATTTAGTGAAAAGACGATGTTTCTTTGTGTATGTGCCACTTAAAGGTCAACTATCCGATTTACTTCAAAGGCCAGATATTGGATTGAAGCTTGATTATCGTTTCACAAGAGTTAAAAAAGAGGAACCCAATTACAAAGATATTAATGACAGTGAAATGTACAAGAAAATTGCCAATGGGAAGTTGATAAGTGATCCCAATGTCAATTGTGACAGCGTTCCCATATTTAAATCTTCGAACTATAGCATTTCGCCTATGCAAGGAATCTTAAATGAACTTCCTCCCAATGAAAGAAAATATAACGTTCTCTTAGTAGCACTTTGGTTTGGATCTGTCAAACCAATTGTTTCAACCATTCAGAGATGAAATGAAAGTATGAATTTGAGACGTAAGAACATGTTTAACTATCCAGTGTGTAAAACGAACACATTCCAAAACAGTTTTATTATGGCAAATGTAAAGGAACAATACATATAAACCCAATTGTAGTGTTGCACAATAATAAATTAAAACAAACTAATTTAGGACAGATACATTTTTTATAGTTTTAATCAAATTTTTAAAATAGATATATTTAATTAGTCATGATTGTAAAGTTTATGTATAATTCAGCTGTGGTTGTATTGGGAGCTGTAAAATTTTAAACTTAATAAACTATCTATCTATCTCGAAAGCCCTTGGTTTAACTGGATTGCATTGGGTTAAATCGTCTGGGGAGTTTGTTGTATCCACAGTTCATGCATGTGTATGTTCAGCTGACAGCATTGCCAGGTGCATCTTGCACAATATAAAGCAATTCAATATCTTTGTGGCTGCAGCTGGTGCTGTAATCCTGGATAACCAATGCCAAAGGACGAGGGAATTGCAGAGTCTACCCGTTCAATGATCAAGGTGAACCAATTAAGAACACACGCTAGTATGATTGAGAATGCACATAAAGCTTTTGACTAGAATGATGCTGTCATGGGAGTGAAAGGCCCTACAAGACTTATTCAGTTGTCTGAATTTGATTTAGTATGTAGTTTTGTTGTCGATAATCTGCATTGTATCGATCTTGGTGTGACACGACAACTTGGTCATTCTGGCTGCCCATTATGTTAGACCCCTTACCTTGGAAGAAAAGTTTCTTGGGAATGAATGGTTCAATGAGAATGTTAAAGATGAAGCCTTGATATTCTGTAAAGCTGTTGTAAGAGGTCAGACTCTGTATTCTTTTATATTACCGAAGAACAATTGGGTGAAAGAATTACACAGATTGAGCAGTGGCAATATTGTGGAGCTCGCCAACTTTGCTGCTAACATTTTAAAGTAAGTCATGCATGTGTGACGTAGAAAATTGGACTTCTGCATATATCATATAAAATGAAATCTCCAAAATGAAGCAAGAAAACAAAAATCTGTCGAAGATGCTACTCTACAGTTTCCAATGATCTTTCACATTAAATAAAGAAATAGCAACATCAATTTTCGAGTCGTATGCCCTTTAAGTTTTACAGGAACGGGACTGGAAGAGGTGCAGGGTGATCTGGCTGACCGCATGGTCCACAACCAGGTGACAGCAACCAAGTACTACTTGTTGAAGAATAAAGGAAAATCTGCTGTCAAAACCTCCAAAGAACTGTCTCACAATCTGTGTGACCTGAGTCGGACAGCAAAAGCGAGCAGTGAAATTGAAAAAGATGAAGATCAGCAACTGCATAACAGTTGATGATGAAAAGGCTCCGAAATATATTTTTGGTAGCCAAATTGAACAGAAAAAATATCCACAGACGATGTCAGGAATGTTGCAAAGGACTGCCCAGTGCTTAAGAACGTTGCTCCTTCACAAATCAGCGACAAGGTCCGAACATATTTTGATTTAAAGGCTCATTAAGTGGTAACTCGCCTCTGCCACCAGAAGAAGGGGAGATTCCTGCAGGAGAAAAAATTAAACGTTTTGATGCACCAGATGCTACTGGTAAGTTATTGTTTATAGAAATAATTATATTTTCTCTTACCAACAATTATCACTTTATAGTCTAGACTTTTATTTTATTTCCTAGTGTTTTGTTGTACAAATGAATGGGATTAGAAATTACTTGAATTAACCCATTCATAGCACAACATTTTCGCCTGATGACTTAAACTGTCTGGCATTAAAGTAAATTATATAAACTATTTGTAGGTGGGAACAGTATTACAACTACCTGAAAAATAGAATGAGAACTTACATGTTCCACCTACAGTAAATTGTTATCTTCTGTACCTACACTGGTACCCACCGCTCAATAAATTATATAAAGCAGCTTGTTGCAGCCTGCACCGCTGCCAATGGATTAAGATTAAAGTTTATTCATGACAACTTCATCAGAAAATTAGGATTTCGTTATTGGTAGTCGCCGCTATTAAAACAGAATATAGGCGTAGTTTTTGGCAGCTACCGCTCGCTCATAGATTGTGGGCGCTTAGCAGTCTCTCCATGGCAACCACGGTAACCAAGACAATGAATGCATTTCACTAGGAATATATTTTTTACAGTTGTTTTTTTTAAATCCAAAACAATTTACCGATTTTGTGAAGAAAATAACAATGCCCTTCGAAGAGCTTTGCATTGGGCAAGATGGGGAGGCCGTAGATGAGAACGGAGTTTGGTTTCCATGTCATATTAAGGAGAAGCAGCAACTTATGTCATAGTTTCCTTTCCACCATGGCCTGAGCACTTCAACAGAAAAATTGATGATCCTTCTGAAATACAGCCGAAGACTCCATTACCGGTGAAACGTAAACCAAAATCTAATCTTAATGTAATGGTTATTCTGTTGATTCGTCCAAACTTTAATAAAGTTGTTAATAATACACTGACTCTAATGACTCTGGTACAGAGTAGACATATTTTATACTTGCACAGCAACAAAAATTGCCTAGAAACATATTTTAGTTACTGAGGAAAGTGTTCATGTTTTGATGACTCATTTTAATAATTAACATGAGTTGGTGTCAACTATTTGTAAAAGCCAATAGGTAATTCAGCTGCAGTTGAGAGTGCCCAGCTCTCTTGACAACATGGCAGTGTGACTCACAGATGTCCCAGGGAAATATAAACTTGTTTTGGTATAATAATGGTAATTCTTTTGACGGCCCTCAGAATTCAACAGTCGCAAAAGTCCAAGCAGGTGATGAGTTATGGCTTGAATATGGGGAAAAAGTTGTAGTTATTCAAGCGGACTCTATCTGAAATGACATTACAGTGGAAGGCATATCTGGTTTCAAGACAACCTTGCCATTGAATGAGCTCCTAGTTGCAAAACCTCAACATGAAGCATCAAAGTGCAAAAGAGCCAAAAAATCATCTGTACTTGGGCAACATTCAGAAACACAAGGAGATATGGACGGAACACCCACCTCTATGACAGACCCAGCCACCGAAACGCCACAGGTACGAAAGAGGAATCATGCTATTCATTATATTCGGATTGGCTTATATTCAGGGGGGGGGGCTTATATTTGGAATGAGGTGAGCATTAGTACATGTGGTGGGCTTATACATGGAGGGCTTATATTTGGAGGTTTACGGTAGTTATATATTAAATCCATAACCAAAACTTTCCATAGAATATCGTTCGAGATATCTGCATATATGTAACTTCAATTCTACATGTCTCAAAAATATATTTTTACACTAGTCTGAATTCCCTGGCACCAAAAGTCGCTTAGAAATGATGAGTTGAATTCACCAAACTCAACTAGTTTCCAATATAAAAAATATGTAGATTTTTACTCACCAAGCACATTTCTGTTTGTTTACACTTCCAACACGTCCCAGTTTTTTAGGTACATGCATTTGAATTTCAACAACGATGAGTCTTTAATAATTTTGAAAGACGCCATTTTCCCCTGGGAACTTCATGTAAGATACACGAAACAGCTTGTTGTGGATTCGTCATGGCAGACTAAACATGGCGAACAAATTTTTAATTCATTGTGCAAATAATATCGGTGCTGCAGAGCCACTCAAACTTCTCCGAACAGGCAATGGTTGGGACTTGACGGCCAGCAGAAAGAGGAAGCTATACGAACAACAGAAATTGTTGACATCGAAGCCGATGGAGCGGAAGATTTCGCTAAGTACGCATATCATCACAAGTGCTACTCCTTATTTATGAATAAAGCGTTATTGAATCGTCAGATTTGCCATTCAGCCATCGCCCTTACATGTTTATAAGATACCTTGGGAGATGGCAGAATATTCATACCAATCCGACTATCCTTTATATTTTGGCCTTGCTACAGATGCCGGGTTTATTGCCTTGCCCTAGCCCCCCCCCCCTAGCCATGGCCAGAGGGGGTGCTATTTTTTCATCATAAAGGAAAAAATATTAGAAGCAAAATACTTGAGTAATAACATGATGATAAGCAAACTGTGAACAACAATTACAATTCAAATACAGTAGTTAAGCAAGACTTTGCAGTAGTCCAGCAAGTTGATGGGCGGGTGGCGCCCATGAACAACACAACTCGCACCAGAGCTGGAAGAGCACTACCCCCCCCCCTGGATCCATCCCTGGTTACATGTTGAAGTATTAAATATTGTGTGTGGTCATTTATCTCTGTAGTTCAGTCGAAAACAGACATTGGGCAAACTCATTGACAGGGGACAATTAAGAAAAGTGGCAACATTGAAAAGTGATGAAAGCATTTTGTTGCAAATTCAAGGGAAGGATTGCGTGATCTTGTAAGTAAAATATCACAGATGATGCTATCTAAAGTATGTATCTGTTCTAAGATCTCGGAAAGATGAATTAGATGACAGCAGTCTTCTAAAGCAAAATATCAACAATCATTTGACATATTTTGTGAACAGTTTGTAAAAACTAAAGTAATTCAAGACGAAGAGATTTTCTACATGAATAAAATTTTAAAATTTGTTAAAACAGTTGCGGAAGTGGAAAATGAAGATGCATCAAGTTATAATACAAGCCGTTTGAAACAAAGAATGCAAAAACAGTTTCCCCAACTTGTGTTTCAAACCACCCAAGGCACTTCTGCCTTAAAGTGAGATCGTATATTCCAGTGACATGAGACCAAGCAAGATTGTTGAGGATGTTGCATGTGGTGATTCTTCGCAGACATCATCATCAGAAACTGATGACTCCGAAAGTATTTTTGGAACAAAAAAGGCCGGCATGTCATATGCCACTTTGAGAGAACTTTATGATGTTGGATTGACCTTAAGAACTGAACTGAGAGACATGAAGAATGCAAGGTAATATAAATATACTAGATATTAATTCTGACGAGATGCTTGATTTTATGGACAAAAAATATTGTGGCAATTAGAGTTTTTGAGCATGCATGCAATTGAAAGAATATTTTATTTAACCCTAAAAAATTTTAGATATCTCTTTAAATTTATCTATCCCTAAACATATGGGTTGATAAATAACATATAAATTACCTAATAGTAATCTAATGTACCCTTTACATGAATGAAAATGATTTTTGTTGTTAAGGTGGTATGAAACCTGGCCTCCTGTTGCTTATGACATTATTGGTGACAGTGTGCAAACAGTGGTGTTACCAATTATTTTTAACTTCATGGCATGGGTTGTCGGGTTCTCTGATGAGCCTTTACTCAATGACTATCTTGAAGTGAATGAAAAGGAAGCTGTGAAGGTTTTCTCTATCTTCCAAGATTTGGTCAATGTTTCTAGTCACGGGAAAATTCAGACAGCCAAATCTTTATCACTTGCAATGAGACAAATATCGGGTTGCACTAGTCTTATTCATATTTTACATGGTTTAGGGCACTGTGTTTCTGTATCATCAACAATGGCATATGACTCAGCCCTTGCACAATTGATAATAAACACATCAAACATTGTCCCCAAGGATTTCGTACCTGGTGAGCATGTGAACCTGGTGTATGGTAACATTGACTTTAAAGAAGAATCTGTTAAACAAACACGTCACAAACGTATCATCATTTCAAAAAGTGATTAATCATGATATGCATCCCATGCTCGAAGATCCCACAGAACACATATCAAAGAAGAAGCAACAAACTGTAGCTGTACCTGTTAGTGATATAACACCTTATGCTGTTGGTGTGAAGAAACACCAAAATTTGATGGCAATGCATTGGATCTGACATCGATGGACATTCATGTCAAAAACAATGAGTGTGAATCAGCTCATAAACTACATCTGATGTATGCTTTGTTGAAGATTTTTGCTACCACTGTGGAAGATCTGTGGCCTGGTTGGACTGGATTTAACACATTAATTAGGCAAAGCAATATACCTACTGTGTCACGAGTTGGCTACCTTCCGATAGTGGATGCCTCGTCTACAGAATATTCTATGCTTAATGAAGTCCTGAAGTCCGTTATTAAGATCATGGATAGATTGCAATTACAACAAACTGTTCTTCTATTTGATGAAGCCGTTTATGCAAAAATCCAGCACATCTGATGGAAGGAACAGATGTTTTATGATCGATTTGTTGTTTGCCTCAGAGACTTTCTGCCATATCAAAGCTATTTGAAGATGGAGGATTAAAGGTACAACATGCAGTACATTTGTGTTGTGAAAGTGTTTTATATTGTGTAGTGCTTTTAGAGCCAATTCCACCACTTCTAATCATCTCACCTTTTAATCATCTTTATATAAGAATATATATGTGACTGTATTGTATCGTACAGTATATGCGCTTTTATAATTCGTTATTATTGCCTTTTATGTATATACAATTTAATTGGATTTAGTCGCAATTTTTATTTAGGAAAACTTAAGGAATCTTGTGATTTGAAAAGCTCAAAATCTAACATACTATATGGTATGCACATAACTGATTCTATTTTTTATGTTTCTTAGGATATTTTATAGAATCAGGTATAATTAGTGTTGGTTCCACCAAAGGTGTTTTATCTGGAAAACACTATAATAGATCAATTTTGTGTCATAAGTTGGTTTATGAAGCAATGCAGCGGTCTTAGAATTTGAAGCGTTTATGGAGTCCCTAGATGATGATGAAAAGGAAGGCATTGAATTGGCTGTTTTTAACATGATGGACTCCTTTCCTGATGATGAATTCCTTGACTATTTGGAAAGACCAGAGATTGAAGCAATCGGTGAAAGTTACAAGATGTTCATTCAAGAGTCATCAGTGAAGTCCAAAACTTTTATATTTGGAGCATGTACTGTACATTAGAATGACAGGTATGCCCGTATATTGAAGGATAAAATGGGCATAAAAATACCCAAAGGGCATCAAATGGTGTTAACCCAACATGTTGACAGAAAACGCTTGATTGTAGAAAATATACAATCCTGTAATAAAATAAAAATTGCTCTAATTCTAATCAGGATTGGCCATATAAACAAAGGGCCTTCACTCCAATCATTGAGGACGATTTTACTCAGTTATTTGCAGTTGCATTTTTCCTAGAATCAAGAGATTAGATTTATTTTAACAGGTGTCTTGCTCAAGTTCATCAGAGCAACAAGAGAAATTAACTGGAAACTTCATCTGGCTACGTTTAGAAGCTACGTTTAGAAGCATTTTCATCTGCGATTGAGTCAACTATGCTAGATATGGAACTGTCTATTGGCTGAAGATGATCACGCTAGATCACACACACCCTGGTTAGTGTTAATCTGCAAAAAATTTCCCCCTGTAATAATGCCTCGCTGATGTGTTCAGTTTTACCGCCAATTACATATTGCTATGTATCAATTGGAAATGATTTATTAAAGGAATTAATTTTTTATGTGTTTAACAGATATTGTTTCTGAATTATCGACTAACTTCGCAGTTCAATGTCAAAGCGATCATGGATTTCCTGCCATTTCGTGTGATCAGACTATCGAACAGACAATAAACTGTGACTCAAAAACCAAGGGTGGTCTCATCGGATTTTCGTTAAATCATGCTGCAATTCATAGATGGTTACTAGCCCAGTCAGAGAGAGCTGCTATTACAAATAAATGCAAGGATATGGCCAGTGCAGATGCTATAAACCAAGGTTATCATTTTATTCCACTTTGCCAGTGTATATTACCCATGTAATGTCTGTTCCTTATTTGGATCAAACATTCATTCATATTCATTTCTCTTTTATGTTGTTACAGAAGCCGAAAAGATCTCGACAGGACTAAATGCACATGCTACGAGAAGTCTGTGAATGATGTAATGTCTACAGTGTCAAACATGATCGACCCATTCACAGAACAGGCAGGATTGGTTAGTTTGGCCAGTGGAATTGTTCTTGATGACGCCATTGCGGACAGGCTATTGGAATCTGAGACTCGTGGGGAGGAACAATTTGTGGAATTTGCTCGTGAGAATTTGTTAAGTGAAAGTCCAGACGTATTTGTTAAGCTACCGCGTAATATGGTAACCACATTCTCCTTGAGTAAATGATTGACCGTAAAGGACCGTAAAGGAAAGGAAATTAATTTAAAGATGAACAGAGACTTATTTGCCTGGTTGTTGCTTATTGTGAAGAACCTGTAAAGTTGATCTGGAGTTAGTCCTTTCGTATAGTCTTGGTCCATACCCACTCTCCTTGGCAACAATATCGGGAAGTCTTGTGAAAACAGCGAAATCGAAATTGTTTGATATTTTAGAAGGTGGGTTAACTCTTTGACGACCGTATGGTTTCGCATTACATTACGACTTAATTTTTCTATTGTAAATATCTCTGCGAGTATTTACCCCCCTTTTAAATAAAAGCCACCATTGAAATCCTCACAAAATAACCTTTCGAACGGGGGGTCAAGTGCCGTCAAAACATTACACAAACCGAAACAATCATATATTTACTCACCGCTTGGCCAAAGATTCTGAATTTCATATCCAGATAATCTTGAATATCTCTTGAACTTTTCGTATGTCTGAGCGGCTGTATGTGTAAAATACTCTTTGTATTCAAGCGCTTTTGTGTACAAAATTTCGTTTGAATACGGAGAGTAGAAATATTTATTTTGAATTTTTTAAGATGCGGGTTTTACTCGCACTCATGTACATTGCGCAATAATTGGCCAACAAGAAGCTCCTGTGGCCGGGATGACGTCAAACTCACGCGTGTGGGTGCAATTTGACCTTGTGAATCCATTTCTGGCATTTGCAAGGTCATACGATACAAACGTCGCATTGTTTTGACGGTTTTCAGTCTTACTTCCGGTTGGGATTAACTCACTTCGAGCTCACAGTCGGACAAGAAATGGAAATATATTGATAAAATATACAGATTTGAATATACAGGCTTGCAAATAACACTCTATAGTGTTTTTGATGGGGATTCGAACAAGACTATTACAAAGACAATATGTTCGGAGGGGCAGAAGTTATTTTCAGCGAAAGGTATGGCTAAGTTTATATTTTTGTTCAGACAATTGCATAATTTGATACAATATGATCGTGTTTGACTTCAAAGGCCCGCTACAAAATTGATAATGGCTATAGCTATAGTGACGAATTAGTTGAATCTTTTATTTCTGAATCGAATGGTGGTATTTCTGTCTTCATAGCATGTACCGAACCGAAGATATGAATATCCAAACATATTCATCCTCTCGCGGATGAATGATTTGGGCTGGGCCGCTGCTAAGTTCCCCGTGAGCACACTTTTGGAACAGTTCATCCGGGTGGTTTTCATGCTTGTTCGTGAGATGCTGAACTTTTGACTTCCATTTAGAGACAATCATCTTTCCATATCCCATCTTCATAGACATGGCACTCCAGTATATATGGTTGCGAATTCCTTTATCCAGCACACCAATGTCTCACATCCCTTTTCTTTACCATCTTTTACAATCGTTTGGCAAAGTCCTTTGCAAACATGCCATAGATAATTAATGAAATGTTGTGTCTCCTTCTCAGATGTCCGTACCCATCAATCTGTGATAAATATTGGAATCTGTAAACCACTATCTTTTAGATACTTAAAACATCTTTGAGCTCCATCTAATTCCATGGCATTGCTATTTCCTGACTGGTTTGACTATAGAATGTAAAAGGACAAATTGCTGTATATAAACTCATATAAGAAATAATAACCCATTTAGTGCCAGCACTCTCCCCTTGACAAGTAAAATTGTCTGGTGTTAGAGTAAAATAATAAAGTACGGTGCTATGCGACCAATGGGTTAATATTATATTGTGTAATACTTTTTCTACACCAGTGATATGATTGTCTTATGACTATATTTAATATTATGCTACAAATAATTATTACCTGTCTGATTTCAAAATGAACTATTTTAGAAATACTGTTACAGAACATGGTGTAAGCAACCGTATTTTCTGCTGTGTCCCATTGAGTCAAAGCGCCCATCCCCAGACCACTTGGCATTCTTTATTTTCTTAACGTTGTCAATTAAGGAATTTCGATACTTCTCCCAATAGACCATAACAGAAGGGATTAAGAACTCTTTCTGATGTATGAAGTATGTTCTAACAGTAACCAAGATGCTTGAACAGTAAAAAGACCTTGCTTATTCCCATACCAGACATCAGAATAAGTGAAACATAACAACATATTCCCAGCATCAAACCTTCCTAAAATGAATGGCTGGCTGTTCCATTGGATGTTTCTCTTTGGTCCACAGTTGGAACAAATCTGAGTCACTGTGGCCATTGTGCCATTCCTTTTGATATTAACCTTAGGATTTGGAGTCTCACAGTTGAAGCAAGACATGCTAAATGGCGACATGAACATGCCATAAAAAAAACCAATAAATTTCGGTTCATCACATCGTACCAGGCTCCATGCTATAAAGAAATAATAAGTACATTAATAATGTTTAATGATAATTCTATACAAATACAGTAACATATTTGGACTTCTATTCAACAATTAACACTTGCACTGATGCTCATTTAATTAAGATATGGTGATAAATATTGATCCCCAGTGGACTATACCAAGATGGAACATCTTGTCACGGGAACCAGTATTTTGTATGAGCCACACGAATCAGAAGGGTGGTTGGGGTGGGCTGTGACCCTGCTTATGATGTCACATGCATATCTGCCAAAATCCAAGATGGCGGAAAGTTCGCCGAATCGGTAAAAGAGGTTAACATATAACATTAAAAGTTCTTCCAAATGAAATAATAAAGAAATATATTGTGCTGAGTGGTTATATTACTACCTTAAAAAAATAAGCAGAAACTCAACGTCGAGCGAAGGCCCTTCATCAAGAGTTGCTGCTACTAACTCTTGATGAAGGGCCTTCACTCGAGACGTTGAATTTCTGCTCATTTTTTAAGGAGTAATATAACCACTCAGCACAGCATTTTCACATTGGTACTACCAACACTGGTACAGACAGTTTTAAAAAATATATTGCCCTATCCCTTTAATTAATCTTATTTAACTTTTACATATCATTACGAGTGTTATGAATAGTACTTTGATTTTCAAAACTCCACATGGCATGCTGTGTTGACCTCTTTGTAATACTATTTAATACATACTAATAATCCCCCTATAGAAAAAAATTATCTGAAGTTACATGGAAGAAAACAAATGAATAGGGCAAACTGTAGCTCAATGGGTTTGAAAAATAGATAAATCAATTATATACATTCTCAAACTCACCTGACAGTGTTTCTTGACTCATGCCATTCCATTTTCTTCTTCTGGTTGAGACATTTTTTCTTCAAGTTGCCAGTCCATATCATCACCACCTTCATCATTACCAACAAAATCTTGGATGTCTGCCATATTAAAGTTCAACATGTGGGTCAATGCTTGCTTTACTACAATTCTGACTTTCAGCATCAGACAAGGTATCACTTTCCTACATAAAAGTAAATAAGTAGGTATAATTGGCACAATAATACAGTATATAATACAAATACATATTCTAGAGCAACCCAATACTGAGCACATTGGACTTTGAGTCTAAAATAATTGATGGCCTCTACATATATAATCAGTAAAACACAACTATCGATTACCTAATTTAGTAGCCTTTCATGCAACTTCTGCTTTGATTTTCTCAGCCAACTGACTTTTTTTGCAACCTTGTAGCTTTCCTGGCAAGGTCGTCACAGTTTGCACATATTTTGGCTTTTCCATGGTCATGCTCAATTATAGTACCACCGGGCTCTTTACAAATATTAACAGAACTTTCCACTTCTACAGAGGGATGAATGTTTTCAGTCTCAGAAACAACTTCACCCTCATTCCAAGACATAGTATCTGTTGAATATCTCATTAACGTGCAATGCGCCCGTATCATAGATATCTTATATACACTAGATAGCGCATCTCTTTTAGTAAAATTGAAGCCAAGAATATTCCAGCGGTTACCCCCATTTGAATAGATGGCGGCCATGTTGGTCATTCCCACTTGCTAATAAACGCTTAAAAACAACAACTTTCATTATTTGAATGTTTTAAAAACGTATTTGGAATAGTGTTAACTTAATGTTTAAGTTCCCTGTTTAAGAAATAGGAAACATACGAATCTTCTAATTTCATGGGAACGACCTGAAACTGCAATCACGGCTTCAATTTTTGAATTTCAGAATAATTAGATGCGCTATCTAGTGTATATAAGATATCTATGGCATGCGCCCTGAGATTGACAAGTGGGTAATGGACAATGGGCCTGCATGCGCCCTCAAACGACACCTCAACTTGCGGGCCTGATATTTGAGCATGTGTTTATCGGGTTGCCTAGCAACAGATATGAAAATAGAACGTGAAATTCGAGCTTTTCAACGGTGTATCATGCAAGAAAATCGGTCAAGTTTAAAATTTTAGTTTTTCAAAAATAATGAATAATGGCGACACTGTTGCAAAGAAGGATTTCACAGCAAGTTTTAAAAGCAGAAAAGAAGTTTTTGAATGATCTACAACGATTTTGGCATGAAAGGAAAGCGAATATAGTGACGTTTTGGGGTCAAGTACTTCTGTGAACCATGCATGAGATTTTCAGCCAAAAAGATGAGGATTTCTCCAAACTTTATAAAAAATAGAAGTCTGAAATCACAAGAAAGATGAACACAAGACACAAGTGAGCAGATACGATTTTTTTAAAGGGTATTTTTGAGTAGAAATATACGATCAAACACTCACAAAATTCGACCGCTTTAATGTTGGTTGAATCTAGTTTAAAGTTCTTTTTAGACAAACTGTTTGTACAACATTTTGTATGTTTTATGTGCAAATTTAATGCGGCAAATTCAAACATTCAACAGAATTTTAATACACATGGCCCACATGGCTCAAGTTAACAATCATTATTCACCACATTATTTCGCAGTGCTTAAATAATAAGTCAAATACAAAAGTATTCTTACCTGTGACATCTGAATAACATGTTAAGAACTTTCCGATTCCTTTTCCACCGTCTGGGTTAAAAATATCAACGAAATATTCCAAGCACAATATCACAATAAGACACCAAATATTTTTTATCACAAATAAAACGATGCTATCCCATTAAGCTTTGCACTCTGAAACGTAAACTAGTCACCAGGGTGTCCAGTTGAAGCGCAAACTTTTGGCTGTATCTTATATTCTTATAGGGATAAAATTCCAATAGGAATGCTTGCATTGGGGACCACCAGGAATTATAGAAATCCTAGCTAGCTAAACACATTGATACTAAAAACATAACCACTGAGTATTATTAGCAAAATACAAAACAAGTGTAACTCCAAAGATCGATAACAGTATATATCGATGTAGATCGATATCGAACTTTGGAGTTACACTTGTTTTGTATTTTGCTATAAAAAACAGTAAAAACATATAATAGCAGCAATAGGATTCTATATTCTATATAATATCCTATATGAATTCCTATAGGAAATTCCTATAGGAAAATTCCTTGAAATTTGAAGCCCGGAAACGCCATTTCCTGCGTTCTGAGCAGCGTATTTCCTCCTCAAATTTCGGTCCTCAACAAATAAACATTTTAGACAAAAGTACCGAAAAACAAAGTTTTGTTTTATGCCAATTGCAATACACTGCAGCTTTGTTCATGTGGACGGTGAAGCATTTGCTTTTGGAGTTTTAGTGGTTGTGATATTAAACATCAACAGTTTGAGTTGGATAGTAAGATTGACTTGTAAGCCAATTACCGTCGCTAAAAGAAACATCAAGAGTTCGTAATTATGTGCATTATGCATTGCTTCTTCAGTAGGCTAACTGCTGCTGTATGATCATATTTTCGAAACATGGCAGTATCAGACAAGCACTTTGCAAAGGCAATTTTAAGCCAAGTGAACGCTCCATTCTCATCCTGCGAATTAACTACGGGATGACCGGCATAAATGGAGCATGTTCATGCAACTCAGTACAGGGTGTATCATAAAAAAGTAGACAATTTTGAAACGGCTCTCAATTTCATAAATCCGATGTCATTAAATATTTGATAAATATAGATTGTTTGGGTACTTATAATATAGAATAATCAAGAAATTTTCGTAAAGATTAATTTTCCAAAGCAGGGGACATCTTTTTAGCAGCATTAAAAATAGCTTGCTTGTTAAATTTTAAAGGTTAAAATGCATTTTGAGTTCATGGACGAGAAATTTGTTACGTGTTTTATTCAATGGTCCAAATATCAGAAAATTTGCTCAATTTTAAGTCCTTCAAATAGGCGCTGAAACTTTCATTTTTTGGCACCAATGCCTTTCACGCATGCTTAATTAATTCATGCATTTACCTAATTCGCATATTGTTACTTGAATTAATTCACTTTTCTTTACAACACAGTTAAAAAATCTATGTTAACCATTACAGTATTGTGCAACATCTTTCCAATGATGACTAAAGTTACGCAAGAACTAGACAAAGTAATGTAGCACAGAATGTGGTATTTTGATGTGTATTGTGACGTACTACAGTAATTGAGTGAACTATCGTTTATATTTGCTTGCATGGCCAATCTTCACATTGTTCATTTGAGTAACAGCTATATAAGACAATGGGGGAGATGCAGGCTTTTAGCCAGGATCCTAAAAGAGGGCGTCCCATTTGGTACGATACATCTTCAGTAAGGGCGGGGGGGGGGGGTTCGAGAAAACGTTCCTCTGGAAACCTTTGAAGTTTATGTTACTTCATATCAGAATCTGTTCCAAGCTCGTTCAAACACACTTGGCTTTGGTGAATACTGAATTTGTGCTGCTATGCTCCTTTACTTAACAATGACATTTTCATTCAGCCAGGTCCTCCATCAAATTGATCAAAATGTCAAATGTATAATAATAATGAGAATTGAAGCTATTTTGTTTCAGATATATTAATATACTTAGGGAAATCATTGCGAATAATTTCCCTTTTTCCCCAGAATTTGGGTGTCCAAAGGCGTCCATTTTTTGTTCTATGTGCGTCCCAGGACGCCTGGACACCCTAGGCAAAAGCCTGGGGTGATGTGGTGACTACCCATATTACCACCCAGTTGCCAGAAATCTTAATTCTTTAACCTATTGAGAGCTAGCACTCTCCCCTTGACAAGTAAAATCATCTGGTGCTAGACAGAGTAAAATAATAAAGTATGGCACTTTAGGCCTCATTAATTTAATTTAATTTATTAACTTTACCAGATTCAAACAATTAACGTTAACACAAAAACTGGTAGGGCAATCGAACAGCTTGCGCCAATTACTGCAATCCCTAAATGTTAGACAAATACACTATATACGTACATAGAAAAAATCAATTACTAACAAACTATCAGATTCAACTTTTCACATTGCGGCCCGCAGGACCACTTCTAATTAGAGCACACTGCAACTCAATGAGTTAAACTTATATGTATATATATATATATAGCCTACGGTACCAATTTATAGCTTTCAATCAGATGTAAAAATAGAAAAAAAAATTTTTTACAGCTTTGTTACACACATAGTTATTCAATCACCATTTAAAGACTTTCAGGAATTATTTGGGGGAGGGGCTAATTGCCCCCCTTGTATGCACTGATAATAAGAATATTTATATCAGTAATCTGTAGTCTCAGATGATATTTCCCCCATTTCCATGATTGTTTAAGTGCTCATAACTGTAAAAGTGTGGTTGCAACTTGCTTTCAAGTGTTTAAAGGCTCAATGTTATATTGCTCCATAATAGGGCTTTTTGCTTGACAACCTGCCTAAAGCCTGATTCACAGTTAGTAATTTTGTTGACGATTTTCTCATCCTGACAGATTCAAATGAGTGGGCTTGCATACAATTGGTTTTCACAAGTATACGTTTCCATGTCTTTTGCATGTTACTCATCCAGTGGTCTCCCCCTCAGCAGGAGAAATATTTGCCGAAAAAGATTTGCTGGCTGAGAACCTGAATTAAGATCATCTCAAAAGATGTCGCAATGTGATTTTGGCTCACCTCCATATAAACACATCCTAATTTTATCCAGTAATTTTTGACACAATAATTTATAGGATATTCAATATATAAGTTAAACATGCCACCATACGTACTGCATATTATTAATATCACCAAAATATTTACGAATAAAGTAACATTGAATTTGTAAATATTGCATTGCCGGTAATGGTATAGGTGCCATATAACTAATGCATACATGTCAACCAAACGGTATTGTCGTTGACAATACGAGTCTTTAATTCAAAAATATACCAACCAGACATGCAGTTACATGTAATATTATTTCACATTGTAACTTTATCACAAAGAAATTAAATTAATATATACTAGTGAATCGACTGGATAAATAAAACATTGTTCCTGAATCATGATGACATGTTTGCATGATAACATTCAGTGCTCAGCTAATATTTCGCTGTAATATATTCGATCACAATAAATTTACACACACACTTTGCATACAAGTTATAAATATTAGAAGTCAGATTCAGTCTCACCTTGCAGGTATCAAAGCATAAGCGTAGGTCTATCTTTCTAGACATTCGTATATGTTTTCTATTCCAACTTCGCTTGCTGTCTTCCGGACCACAATGTTGATTCAACAGTTCCGCTTGAAACTTAACGTCTTAGCGCCAAAAAATTTCACTAAGTTTCGTACTAGAAGGCATGCACAAACAATGCACAGTGAGAAGTTTCCGAACTGTTCCCGATTTAATATTGTGCAACAAAAACATGGCCATCGTGTCGCACCGTGTCTCATGTGACAAAAGCTCGGTCTGTGATTGGCTTGACACGCTCCACCGTGTCAAGAAGTTACTATATTTAGTAACAGCAGAACCGCGGACCGTGTCTCAAAATGGCAGTCGCATTTGACGAACATTTTCCGAACTTAAAATGATCAACTTCGAGTGGTTCTCGCTTATCGTCGTGGCAAACATTTAATATCCAGCAAGTGCGGGGTTTTCCCAATGTTTTGAACCTTTTACAGCACAGGAATTACATCTTTTGAGATATTTACGTTTTTATTTCGCGATTTTGTTGGAAAAAAAAACAGTAATACGTAATGCTGGACCAGGAGTATATATCTGTTTGAAGTTGTAATGTTTGGGACGTTTATACATATAAATAACGATCGCTTCCGTCCTTATAGACCAATTTAGAGAATATGATGATCTCAAAAATCTGACCATGTCTCAAGCCACGCTTGCTACCCCCTGGATCCGCCCCTGTCAACCTCAAATGTATTGATGCTGTACTGGAGTGAAGAAATGATACGAAATTCCATGTATTTGCCACCGAACACAAGGTTAATACATAAAACGAACAATCGACTTACTTAGAGTTGACCGCCCGTCACTTTTGTGATGTCATATGAAATCCACGAATACGGGTATATTTGCTGGATGCTTATTATACCCAGAGGGTGTTTTAGCAAATAGTTTCAAAAGAAATGTGAAAGCGCATTAGATGATGAACACTACAATTTTTATACCGAGTGTCCCAAAAAAAACTTGCTGTGTTTGATTTCATGTAATGTACAAACTATAAAAGCTATTACACTCAAATAAGTTTTATTGTATTGAGGAAAGGCTAACTTAGATTTTGATATACAGCCCTAAAAATTTCATGTAATATTACGTAAGATACAAACGTTTGAATGTGGCGCACGCTTTAAAAATGAGTAAAAATATCGAGAAACATAGCTGATCAAATTTATATGAAAACAAAATGCCATTTTCCACAAAAATTAACAATTTCAATTTCAGCATTTCAACCCAACTTTCATTTCGGGTAATGTCCTAGTATAAATTAACCTTTCGTGTTTCTTGGGAAGCGACATAAGCATGAAACATTTAAAAACGTTCGAAAGCATATTTGGTCGTCGTTCGCCTTTCGAATATGCCTCGATTAACAAAAGATGAAAGAGTTTGGGTTTTATGGTTTCCTGTGCAAGACATTGTATACATGAAAAAGGACATACTTTCTATGATGAATGAATAAATGTTTATCCAACAATTATGTTTTCCATTCGTTCTTTTGGCCACAATAAAAATATATAATCAACTTTAATTTAACCAAATAATATTTGATAGGCAATTTTATGCAAATTTTTAACATTGTCAAATATGCTTATTCGATTTAAAATATCGATAGCTAAGTAAATATTGCACAGATATTCAACTGTTATATATCAAAATCTAAGTTAGCCCTTTCTGCATATAACTTATTTGAGTGCAATAGCTTTTATAGTTTTTATGTTACATTAAATCAAACAGCGCAAGTTTTTGGGGGACACCCAGTATATCCAAGGAGATATATACTAAAAAATGCAAATATTAACAAAATTACTAAAATAATTTCATCTACATGGACTACTGTACTATAGCAATAGTCAAGGTTGTTCTTGTGACTACATTAGCAAAAGTCAAGGTAGTTTTTTTTACTAATATAGCAATAGTCAAAGTAGTTATATTATATTATAACTTTACCACACAAAGAGTGGCAGGGTCACCACAACAGTATAAAAACCAATTACTGTGGGCCCTTTTACAATTACTATGTAAACATACAATTACATTAACATAACTTAATTTACGAGAACAAATACAACTATCAGGAACAACAAGAGAGTGGAGTAGCAAGACTACGAGCAGTGTTACATTTCGAACAGATTGATTTCCAAGTCCAGGGATTTTCAGATTCATAGTTTATATTGATAGCTGTAGTGTAATATCTGTAAAGTAAATATTTAAATGTGGACAAGGAAAGAGACTGTTGAGTTAATCCCAGCATAAATGGCAATTGGTTTGCAATATACTCTACAATACTCCTGGCCTTCTTGTCTTGTTTGGTATGTGGCCTTTCACATACTGTAAATAGCCATGTATGATCAATACGAGCACAATGGGCCTTTCATGTGTAATATTGTATTTTTCAATCTTTGATTTGATACGTCGACTTCGCGTATATGAATGCCAGATCTATATTCGGACCAAAAATATATCTTTGACCAGAGCCAGCCAAAATGGCGTTGTAAATAATACAATAAAAGCAAACTTAAAAATAGAAATGAGCAAATAATACCTTTTACTCAAAGGAACACAAGGAATAACACGATATGCTGCTCATGCTAGTGTAGAAGTAGAAGTGAAGTCCTCAAACTGGATCAAAATCATCAAATGCCTTGAAATCACAGCTCGAAATGCAAATGTAAAATGTCGGCAGAAACATATGGGCGCTTCTGATTGCTCCCGATACTTTACGAAAATCCGGACTGGACATCACCATCATTGCGTTTGTAGTATGTGATAGTGGCTAGCCCGCAAACGAGCTAGCCACAAAAAAAAACAAAATTACTGTATTCAGTAGATTAATATTTAACCCATATGTAGATTGCAACATGTTCCTAGCATCTCCCATCCGAGGGCTTTTGGGGTGAAGACCCTGGGTATGTTGGTGAGCACTCTGTTCATTGTTATTAAACCTTGGTTGATGCTGCATAATCTCATTAGCTTGCAAACTATTTTTTTCCTCTTCTCTATGTGTGCAAACAATTTTAAGAATTTTCCATCCCCCCCTCCAAAAAAATAATGGTCCGTCCGTTACCTGAGTTAGCTGCAAGTAAATACATGCACTTACTTACAAGTTTATATAATTACCATAACTACTCTTTGTTTGTTATCAGTATAGCTTTAGCATACTTTAGTTTGTCTCTAAGAAGTTTGTCTTGTGGGCATGCTTCTATATCTTTTTGAATAGCAACTCTACTGTTGTGCTTCAGGAAAAATTCTTTTTCCCATTGACCAAGTTCTTGGCAAATTTTTGTTTGTTTTACAACACGTACCTCCATAACCGCAACTAGGTTCATAAACTTGGCAAAGAAAAACTTGTCAGATGGTGACTGCTTATGTTGCTGTCTTGCTTTGTCAAACTGAAGCACTTCAGTTGACTGCCCAAGCACAAACACAACCGCTTTTCCCAATTTTGTTTTGCAAACTGCCATGTTTCCAGTTTCACTATTTTTCTCTACTGTTATAGGATGGCTGTCTGACACTACTGGATTATCAACTCTTGAACAGTTTGTGGAATCTATAAATTAAGAATTTTATATGGATGATTTAATAATCAATTTTGATATGGTTATCACTGTATTTATTGCAATATCCCGTGCGCCATTCCCTTTCTCAGCGGTTTAGCACTTTAGCATTCCATATCCAGCGCACCACATTGTTATGTTATTATTACAAAAGCTCACTTGTGTTGTGTTGACTCCTCATTTGTAAAGTCAGTCCATTCTTATTATTGGCGTGGTGGCAGCGGTGGGATTCTTATTAGGGTTCTTAGGTCTGCCCACCTCCAAATGAATGCCAGAGGAGATAAGGATCTTATCATTTGCGAGGGCAGATAATCCTGGGGTGGGGTCCACGCGTACTGTCACACCACCAGCATGTAGAGATCGGAGCTCGGTGCATAGGATCAAGAGGGCATCACGTAGAATCTCATGCTTTTCGCTCTCAATGAGAGAAGCGATACTGTATGCGGACACGGTCTCTCGCATGACAAGTATGTACTGGCACTTACGGCGCATCACGTCTGTGGCAAACAAGATACCAATGGCTCAAGGGGCATCTGAAGTAGACTGGGGATGTACATGCTTAGGGATGGTCTTCACTGACTGGCAGAGATGACAAGATAACGAGATCGCCTCAACTGCCTTATCAACATCCAGGGCAAAGAAGTACCGATTGAACAGACGTTTGAGTTGGTATTTAGATGGGTGGGTTAATCTGATATGAAGTGCCATCAGCAGGCCATCAAGTGCGGAGCGGGGCACAACTATGCGCTCGTGGCTGGGCTGGTTGAGTGTCCTTCACAATAAGGAGGCCGTCGGACGCAATGATGACATCCTTGAGGTAACGCTTGACATCAATGATCTTGGTGATTTTCTTGGAGGGGCGGGTGCCTTGATGAAGATGGGAGTGAGTTTTCGCCGGAGATCAGGGCACTCCTGCTGGGTAGCTTGCCAGGCTGCTCTACTAGTGAAGGGGATTAGAATGGAACCTTCAATGACGTCACTCACAGAGATTTCACGAATGACAGAATCCTCCATTTCTGCGATGAACTTGCAAATCTGTTAACTAGAGTCTAAACATTGTCGAGGGTTTCTGCTAGCAAAATCGGATGGAAAATTCTCTGCTCCAGCAATGTGGTGCACATGGACTTGATACCGACTAACAGTTGACAGGAAGGTAGTGACTCGTGAGCTGGCGGAGAACTCGCCACGCTTGAGCTTGTCGTATTAATATGGTAGGCTGTTATTACCGAAATTGTAATTGACCACATTTGTTTAACTTTGTTTTGTATGTATATTCATTCATAAATGACATTGGTAAATATATGCAGTGTGTATTTAATTTTGAAAAGTGCATGGATTGAACACTAACTGTAAACCTTATTACTGCAGCGTATACTGAACCAAAGTCATATATAAATGAATACTCATGTCATCATTGTTTAATCTAACGACCTAATACAGTAATAGTGAACTTACCTTCTGGTATTGCTGCTACAATTTCATGATTATTTTCAATTGTGTTGGGGCGAGTTGAGGGTTGTAGGATTATTTGGAATTTGATCACTATTATCTGTAGCTTGATTGTCGACATCATCAAACTCACTTGGTGGTAGGTCTGAACTGTCACGGGGATGGACATGAAATCCAATGATTTCTGGATGTGGTATCTCTTGTTCTTGGGCTATTGTTGATAGTTCCTTGTCATCCTGCAGAGTGCTGTCTTTGCTAGGCGTCGTGTCCTCTGGCTGCTGTCTAACAAGCTTCATTTGACCATGTTAATCTTCAGCCCGAACTACATTTATTGGTAAAGTGACTCCATTCTCTAAACATTGCTTCCAGCACTTATGAAGGGATTCTTCCTTGATACTGAAGCTACTAGAGTGAAAGTGATGTAGCAAAGGACCTTGTTGATTGATGATGCCCTTTCCCCATCAAAGAATTCGACATTGCCATTTTCTTGCTCAAACCACCAACTTCCTTTGCCAGGTAAAAGGAAATCACTGATTAGTTCAAGATAAGCTTGCCATGATCTTATGTGCTTCTCAATTAACTTTCCATTGATAATAGTATTTCCATATGCAGGTAGTGATGATGCAAGTTTAGAAACAGATGATTCTTGCTTAGAGTCACAATTAGTGCCTTAAAAAGCATGCATCTTCTTTCTCAGCTTGCAATCTAATGAAAATGTTTCTGATGATATGGTTTGGGTGGTAAGAGGATGTAGCCTTAATGTTCATGATGGTGTTGAATATCCTTTCTTGTTGTTCGACATTGCATGCCTTCCCGTTGATGAGTCTATGCTGTACCGCAGCATGGCAGGTGATGTTGTGGTAATAATTGCCATGCAATCTACGAGTTGTCAAAAATTATTTTAATGTGAAGCCAAATATCTCCCTGAACAACATTCCATGGTACCATGTCATGTTGTGCAGGCGTGGAACCGATTTCGGTGTTCTTTCAGCTTCAGAACTGTATGCAATTCTCTGGATTTCTGCTAAGGTGGTCAGTAGTTGCTGTACAAGGTTTGAGGAAATAATGGTTGAGGATTTCGATGCAAGGATAATAAGTGCACACCTATAATCAAATGTGTGCTTAGTATCCTTACCACCAATGGTACAATGGATGATGTCCTTGAATGCAGTAGCTTTTTTTCCTGGCAGATGAAATGGAAGTTCTGTCGACACATTTTCAATGTGCTTACCTATGTCATGCAGTGGCTCCAAACGTAGTACTTTATACTTCCCACAGTTGATCGATTCAAGGGTAGATGTTGGGTTATTGTAAAGTAAAGCTGGTACTCTCTGAACACCATGAAGTTCGTTTGTCAAAAGCTTCTCAAGTTCTTTCTTTGTGTTCCCCTCATAAATTCTTCTAGTATTCAGTTCTCGGATCAGTTCATCTTTTTTCAAGTTTTGGAATGGCTTGGAAGCTTTTGACAGAGAATTTTTTCTTCCTAGTGGTCCAGAAAGCACCAGTTGTTGTTGCTTGGTCAAAGACATATAATGGCAGGAAAAACAAATATCCAGACCATGTGCCTGCTGTGCATTTGCACAACATCCAGCACAGTAAAAGTTTCCTCCTTTTTGCTGGCCAGATTCCAGTTGAAGGGGCCGGGCTGTAACTGTGAAAAAAGTGCATTGTATCTGTAAGTTCAGCAGTTCCAGTATCAGTTTTCAGCTTAAAGTTGAGTTCTTCCAGGCACTGTGGATGTGTTTCAATGTATGTTAATTGTTCAGCATTGTAAAAGCATTGACAAAGTTATTTTAGTACAATTAACATAGTTGCATATATATATAGTGCACAAGAAGTCGTACTTAATAGTCCTTGTTGAATTATTGTAAAAGATAAAACCGATATTGGTTTTAACTAAAAGGAGCAATAATAGACAATTCATGACAGAAAGCAAACATACATGTTTTGGGTCAGGTCATTATTTAATATGAACAAGAAACAGTAGAGGGCCAACTATAAAGTGTATAATGATTCTTCTTCACTTACCAATAATTTTAGTGATAATTATTGCCATTGCAAAATTTATAATGACAACAATATATAGGGTCAATAGGTTTATATCACAACCGGGTCTGACACACTGCTTAAAAGGAATAGAACTTTCAAAATCATTGACGAGATAGATTCCTGCTGTGATGCTTTCTCTACTCTTTCAGTTCCCTGGCTTCATTACAGTTTGACAGCCTTTATAGTTTAGGTGATAAATATGGTTTAAAATACTCTTTGTTTTAATATACAGTACTGATCATAATTATTTGAACACTTGAAATACTAACATCTCATCAAATGTGAACTGAAACATTTAGTGAAATGAGTAATTTATTTCAAATTTATTTCAATAATATATTTCAAAACACAAGGACATTGAAAGACTTATTTATTCGGTAATAAATTGCTTCACTCTTCAAAACACAACCTAACAGCCTTAATTTAATATTTGGTGTGGCCACCTTTTGCTTTTATGACTGCTCTGCAACGTTCTGGCATACTGTCAATGTATCATCGTTTAAGTTCTAACCAAAGCGTTTCTTATGTTTTTACATGCAATTTGTCATGTTTACGGTCGACTAGTTCCCAAATTTGCTCAATAGGATTCAGGTCTGGGCTTTGTGCTTGCCAATTCATGGTTGTTAAAACACCTGCAGCCTCTTTTCTTCTTAAATAGTTTCGGCAGTAGTTTGACGAATGTTTAGGATCGTTATCTTCTTGAAAAACAAAATTATTACCAATTAGCTGAAGACCGGACGGTACTGCATGCTTCACGAGAATATTATGGTACACATTTGTCTATTTTAACCAAACCGCCTAATCCTGTTCCAAACATAGAACCCCAAACGATAATATTCCCACCTCCATGCTTGACTGTGGAGGAAATGCAGTCGTTTATGAGCCTTTCACCTTTGCGTCTCCGCACATAAACCCTTCGATTAGTTCTTTACACTTTACAAAAGTAGGGCTGGTCTAAAGTCAAGTCTGGTGCATGTGCTCAAATATTTATACCTGAAATATTTAACACGAATGACTGAATACCATAGGGGATGTAAATTTGCATGATATACATATTTTAACATGTCTCAGGCTCGGGGACTGTTAGACTAACTCCCAGAAATATTGGTGTACTGAAAAATGAAAAAAATTAAGGTGTTCAAATAATTATGATCAGTACTGTACATTATTTTAGTTAATTAATAAGTGCTCAATCATGCTACCCTTGCTACCTCTACTGAGCATAGCATGTGGTCATGACTCACATGACCACACCATACCAGGTGAGACACTGCGAACGAGGTTGGCCATACAGCCCATAATAAGTATGCCATTTGCAGGTTGAAATTTGGAATCTGAGACAAAGCTGCTGTAAAGGCGGTTTTCCAGTCCTCACACGAAGCTCCTCGCAGCTACAATCTTGGACAAAACCCTTGAGACCATTCCAGCTAATATTACAAAGTTATTGAACATTGACAAAACAAATTTTGTCTCCCCCTCCCCCCCAGTTCAATGTTGTGAACAACGTCGAAACAACTTTTGGTAATATACCAAGATACAAGCTCAACATTGAGTTTGGGGAGCTGGGGTTTAAGAATGGCAACATGATTCAACATGGAGTTTATCATAAAAATACGCGAATTTTCTATAGGGGGAATATAGTCTCAACCAGTTATGTCCAAGATTGTCTGAGCATACCAATTGTTTGAGAGTTATGGTTAGAAAGGTAGATGGGTTAGTGTTGCGATGGAGGAAAAATTATTAAATATATGTTACACTGCAAGTACTGTAGGTAACCGAAATTTTTATCCATATTAGCAATCATTCCAGGCGATGCCAAATCTATATTTATATTGTAAGTAAAGGGAAATTAATTAGGACATAATATACGTCTGGATGAAAGTAAATTATTTATGGGACTTTTGGTAAACTTGATTTCTACCTTATTCCATATCATTATTGAAAGCTTCGTATAGTGAATATAAAAACATATCCAACACTAAAAGTAGCCGAATTGGTCAAACTTGATCACATGGTTTGCTCAGAAAACGGCTATCACTCTAATGTGCGAACGTTCCCTGGTCTATTTGAACCAATTAGCTACTGCTATAGAACATAGCTACAGAGTTTAAAAAGAAATGGAATCGTGGACATGCTAAACGTTGTCTACACAGCTACTCTCATATAGGCAATCGGCACTTTTCACAGGTTATTAGTATGGCGACCCCCCACGAGGAACAAAGGGTCGCCTGTACAATGTTCAAATGTTCAAATTGGCCATAGTAAAGAAATGCAAGTATATCGCCATGACTTTTGGAGCATAAACCTTTTATAATAATATATAAGAACATTCCAAACGATTAACGAAAAGATTTGATGTGATATGAACGGTAAACGGGGATAGCAGCAAGATTTTATAGTAAATGATAGGTCTAGTCATTGTTTTAAATTGGAGTCGCCATTTACCGTTGTAATGGCCTGTTTACCGTTCTTTTATCAAACCACGATAATACGGTGGCCCACAAGTGTCACAGCGAAAGTAAATTGCAAAATGAAGTCACGGCAAAATTAAATTAACTCACGGCAAAATAAAGTTAACTCACAGCAAAATAAAGTTAACTCACGGCAAAATAAAGTTAACTCACAGCAAAATAAAGTTAACTAAATAGAATTAATTTAACGTTGAAAGGCCTTGGAAAAGGCCTAAATTGCTAAAACAAAATGGCCGTCACCTCGCTCGATTGGTCTTTTCGCCATCTACTTCCTCAGCAAATTAAGCTATTAATTTTCTCTGACTTTCCTTTCTAGTTCTTAATTATTTGTTTACTGTTTTAAGCTGATTTGTTTCAATTAAAAAGGTAGGTAAATGACTTTTGTTATCGCTTTGTATTGACAAATTTATATTTTATTATATTAACATTTACATAAACCGTAATTATTAACCCCCAGTGTCTTGTTTACTTTTCAAGAAATTTGGTGGGGGATATATATGAGGAGCTTATATATAAGAAAGCCTTTATATATTGATAGAAACCAATGCCAATGAGCCAATTAATAAAAATATTTGGGAGAATTCTTTAATAAAGACTGCATTTTCATGGACAAGACTATTTCTATACGGGGACGGTGAATAGGTTTTCGGAGTTTTCGGATCGTTGGATTTCACAGAAAAAATTGTTTGGATTTCGGATCTGGCGAATATTTTACACGGATTTGCGGATCTTATTAATACAGCGGATTGCGGATTTATTTAATAGTTTGGTTCGGATTGTGCATTTAGCTTGCAATTTTGTTCCAATCCTGGATTGTGACTTCATAGTAGAGCTTTCAGCGGATTCAAATATAGACAAGACCATTGTCGGATCGCGGATTTTGCTTCAAGTTTGGGTGGATCGGCGGATTTGTATACCCCTATTCACCCCCCCCCCCTCCTATACTTGGACTTGGTTGAAGTCAATGGGTCGACGAAAGTAGAGGCATGCTAAGAGGCGTACTTGGTTCAAGTTCGTCTGTCAATGGGTCGACGAAAGTAGAGGAGCACAGATCGTCTCGTACCCGGAGCATGCTTGTTCGCAGGTACGTTGGGCGTACCCGGAGCATGCTTGTTCGCAGGTACGTTGGGCGAGGGGAGACGGACTTGGGACATTTAACATTTCAAATGTTACGTTACTTGTAAATTTGGCGCGAAAATATATTCCTGTTCTTGTCAACTCACCAGCCACGCCTCTGTAGGAAGAATCAGACGGTAAATTTTGGCGCGCATGCAAATGTCCCAAGTCCGTCTCTCTCCCTACTTTTCTCTCATATTTTCGCGTCTTTTTTCACCGTTCACGTGCATCGCTATTTTCAACCACTTGAGAGACTGAACCAAGTCTATTAGTCTATTATTGCCAGAAGTTGCAGAAATATCATCATTGAGTTCTCTTGCCTCAAGTTACAAGGTAGAACAAATCAGAAACAATGTAGCACCCACATACCACCCATGGCAGACTCGGAAGAGAAGACTGCGCCAATATGCTTTAGAGGCCGACCGTTAGAAAATGGGAGGGAGATTTTCTGCAGATTGCACAAGTGTTTAAAGATTTGTAATCAACCTTGATTAATCTTAATGAATAATCAAGGCATATTATTAACTTGTGAAAGTTGTTCAGTTTGATAACTTTTAAATAAAAAGTTATTATCAATCCTGAGAACTCTTACAAATTATAGGTTAAGGCATATAGTAAAGGCCGTGACTGTTGATAAGTGTAATTACATGCACTCAAATTTGCTCCAAGTCTCACTCAAATTTATTTAATTATTGTAGGTTTGTAATCAGTTTGTGATCGTTTCAAGTTCAGAACTGATCTAACAATAAACTGGATAGACCCGTTAAAAATACAAACTGGCCTAGTAACAGACTGGATAAATCCTACCAAAGAAAAATAAAACTTGCCTCATCAAGGACTGAATATATCCTATCAAATCTAATTCGAGCGAGACTTGGGCAAGTCTAAATTGCACTTTACTTTTGTAGCCGCCATGCTTTCCGACGATTCTGAGTCTGAAGAAGAAAACGAACCTCAAGAAATTGATGAAGAAAGTATCATTACATACTATTTTAATTGTGGTTTCAGTTATGAAGAAATGTTACTATTCCTTGAGAAACGCCATTACTGCAAGATGAGTCGCAGCACATTGCTGCGATGACTAAAGGCGTATGGTCTATGTAGAAGGGGGTTTGCAAATAACCCAAACTCCAATTGTATTGTGGAACAAGTTCGACAACGTATTAGAGAACTTATTAATGGTCCTGCTTCATCGGGAGGGTATAGAACAGTATGGCATACCCTAGAGATGGAAGGATTGAGAGTGCCTAGAATTGTAGTACAAGACATATTAAAAGAGCTTGATCCAGAAGGAACAGAATGGAGGAAAGCTCATCGTTTTAAACGGAGAGAGTATCACAACCCAGGGCCAAACTATGCATGGCACATGGATGGATATGACAAACTCAAGCCATGGGGTTTCCCAATTCATGGTGCCATAGATGGCTTTAGCCGCAAAATTCTTTGGCTTAATGTTACCCGTTCAAACAATTCTCCCGATAATATCGCCAAGTTTTATTTAAAAACTGTGGAAGAGCATAAAGGATGCCCAGTTGAAATGGTGACTGATCTTGGAACCGAAAATGGCTTGGTGGCAGCAACACAATGCTATTTTCGTGACAACCATGATGCGCATCGCTACGTTCCATCTCCAAGAAACCAACGTATTGAAGCATGGTGGTCCTTTTTCTCAAGGAATCGCTCCACATGGTGGCGAAACTTTTTTTCCGATTTAGAATCCCGCGAGGAAATCGATTTATCCTATGACCTAAGCAAAGAATGCATGTGGTATTGCTTTCACGACCTCTTACAGAAAGATATTGACACTGTTAAAGAACACTGGAATACACATCGCATTAGAAGGTCAAGGTATAACACCGTTCCTGGTCGTCCAGACTCCCTTTTTTATTTCCCTGAAAGCCACGGAGGCGTTAGTAATCTTCTGAAGGAAGTACCAGAGCAGGAAATTAATTATGCTTATGAAGAAATAGTTCAAATGAATCAAGTGAATGAGTATCAAGAATACTTTGAGTACGCAAGAGAAGATCAAGAATACTTTGAGTACGCAAGAGAAGCTCTTGGACTTCCACGTGTGCCTGTAAGAGATACCCAGGAAGCGTGTGAATTGTACGAAAGAATAAAAGTTGACATGCTTTAATGTAAATGCTTACAAAGTGAAGAACTGTTAAAATAATTGGACATGCAGTAAATAACGTCAATGGCAAACATCAAGAGGGAAGAAAGAGCAAGGGTTTAGTGGCTATCCCCCACACACTTAACTTTGCATGCAAAATACTGTGCAGTGATAACACCCAACAATTAATCATACATGAATTATAAAAACAAGCCACACTAATCGTAAATTTATTGTTTACATACCCTGCATGACCTCCAGTTCACTTGGTGTCTGCCATTACTGTGCAGTTCGAGTTAATATAAACACAAAATTGCATTATTTCAACAAGAATATAAACAATTTAACTAAACTTTAGTACTAGCTAATGTAAGTAAAAGCTAATTTCATTGCCTTTTGCACTGTTCGCGTTTATGTTTCTTTGATCTTAATGCCTATCAAAAGATTGGCCACCACAGTATGCTCTAAAAAATATGTTGTTAAACTCAGCTGACGTCTTCATGTGATTTACAGGAAGTGTTACCGATTTACCACAGGCACCAACAACAGGATAACAAACTGTATGATTAGGATATTGAATGGCACAATCGTGATTAAACATGATTGAAATAGCTATTGCCTCTCCATTAAGTGGTTTGTGCTGCTGACCAGTTAGCCACCCCATAACACCAGCAGGTGTTAAATCTGGTTGACTAAATTCTTCAGCAGTTTCATGAGGGGCATCGGCATCATCGGGAGCATCAGCATCATCGGGGCCATCAGCATCATTGGGGCCATCAGCATCATCAGGGTTCGAAGAAGCATTGTCTTCGACAAAAGCCACGTTTTCTTCATCCTCAAGCTTGAATAAAAAATCTTGAAAGTGATCCATTATATTTTCTTCGGTGCATCTCTTTGAACTTCCTTCTGGGGAATATTCTGGGACCATAATGGAATAGAGGTAATTTGCATCAACGACATTTTGATTCTGTGAATCAATGACAAACAATAACTTGCAAACTTCAGGATAAGCAGCGACCAATCTTGCAAGCCCAAATACACCAAGCTCATTCATGAACTCTTTCAAGTAAACAACTCTTTTCATAACAATGCTGATGATGATGGATTTCATGATCTCTTCTGTGTGAG